AGGAAAGGTTGCGGGACCTGAACCTGTTCAGCCTTCAAAAGAGAAGGCTGAGGGGGGATCTTGTGGCCTGTTATAAACTGGTTAGGGGGGATCAGCAGGCGCTGGGGGAGTCCCTGTTCCCCCGAGCGCTGCAAGGAGTGACCAGGAACAATGGTCACAAGCTGGCGGAGGGAAGGTTTAAGTTGGACATCAGGAGGTGCTACTTCACGGTCAGGGTGGCTAGGGTCTGGAACCAGCTTCCAAGTGAGGTGGTGCAGGCTCCCACCCTGGGGGTTTTTAAGAGAAGGTTGGATGACCACCTTACTGGGATTATTTGACCCCAGTGCTCTTCCTGCCATGGCAGGGGGTCGGACTAGATGATCTGCTCAGGTCCCTTCCAACCCTAGAAACTATGAAACTAACTGGAGATGGCTGTAAAACGTAGTGAATCAGAAGCCAGCACCAGGCAAAATCCTTCAGTTCTTGCGCCTTTAAAACTACTCTGTGAGCGGGTTGTATGTTTCTAATGAGTCACATCCTCCTGTGCACTGAAGTCTCCAGAGCCAAGATACAGAAGTCCCACTTGCACAAGTAGGAGCTGGAATGAAATACGTAAGCCCCTGCACATGAATTTCTTATTGCTAATGAAAAATAAATGATCGCCGTATTTTATAACATAACAAGCAACCTGTTTTCAAAGGGACTGTTCACATCACACAGGGCTTCCCATTTTACACTATTACTGGGTCATGCAATCCTCCAGCTCATTTGTTTTACAGATCTGCCTGCTGGAAATCACAGTGGTCAAAACGGGTCCTGGCAACTGTATGTCCTGAAGCAGAGCTAGCATCCATTACTCTCCCAGGGTCCTCTGGCTGGTACCAGCAGAGGCAGTAGGAGGAGGAAACAGCCACCACAATCATCTATTCTGATCTTTCTGCTTGAGGGAGATCATAATGACTGATTGAAACAATACCTATAGACTAGTTCCATAGCTCATGGAAGGAACGGACGAAAACTGAATGAGAGGAGAGACGGGAGACCCATTTAATGATACAAGATGACCTCATTTGTGCCTACTGATACCTGGGTATGTTCAACTAGCGTGTGAAGAAAGAACCAAGTGAGAGGCAGATCCTGAGCTGGAAGCTGAAGTACACACTGGTCTAAGTTATGCATAAACTTCTGTCCTTCACCTTATTCCTGTGTAAGAAAGACCCATGCCCCATAGCAATGTCTGTAGTGGCTACAGAAGTTATTGTGCTACTAGAGCAGTGCGAGTCGTACCCCAGCCCTAGCTGAGAATAGTGCCTAATGGCACAACCAGACCTAAACATCTCATATTCTGTCCCTTGCCAGCTGTATCAGAGCTGAGCTCCCTGCCTGCTGCGGCTGCCACTTGCCCTGAGTGCAGTGCTATAAGAAATAGTCCTTCACAGAGATCGTGCACATCTCCATGGGGAAGGCAGCGCAGAACAACGTGCTTCATCCTTTACACCGTTGTTTCCTGCTGCCTTCCACCTGTGCCTCTCCAAAGCAGTGGAAGGAGAAGCCTCAAAGAAAGTTAAGAGAAAATAAACTTTAGAAGCTCCTCATCATGTGTCTATGAGTTGACTGCAGATAATATTTGGATTTCATGAGCCTCTGCTCCCCAGGCGCACAAAATCTACTTCTGGTTTTTAATGAAGCCATAATTAACCTCCGGAGTTGGCATCTGCTTAAACCTCCATAATTAGTACTTAAATTCTCAAAAGGTAATGAAAGGCCCTTTTAGGTTCCTAATTGGCTGCTCCTTCTTAGCCGAGTTTGCTTTGAACATGAATGATCAACATGGGAAATAAGTTACTTCTATTGAAGTAATTCAGTAGTTGGAGAAGTGAGCGACTTCTCTGTCTATAAGGAGGCTGGGAGGGCTTCTGATCAAGGCTGTTTCATGTGCTACAGCTGCAGAAGTCAACATGAACCTGCCACAATGGGTCCACTCTAGGCATGAGTGTAAACTGGGTTTGGCCATGTGCTGTAAACCCTGTCAGGGACATCTATACTGGGTCAGTGAGAGATCATGGAAGTTCAACTCTTGCACCGCAAGGAACTTGAGGATTCCTGCAGCCTATATTGCCAAGTCCTCATCCTTCACAATTCACCCCCCAACTGCAGCTGTTTCCCAGGATTTGGGCTCAAGAAGGAACTGGTTAGAAAAATGCCAATTATGGGGAATTTGGGGAAAAAAAACAGTTTTTCCAGTACACCTACTCGTTCTGCAGGAAGCTGAGAGATTTTTCCAGAGAAAGTTAATTTTGGAAGCTAAACTTTACAAGAATTTTACCTGTTGGCATGCAAAGCCATGTTTCATTTGAAAAATATAAAAACTTTGACCTGGAGTCTACTTTTGCCCTGAGTTAATGCATACCAATAACCAAATCAAGATAAAGTGCTAAATACTGATAATAGTTTTTGAATGAAATTGATAGTAACATATAGATAGCATACGTGTTTCTGCTTGCAAGGAAAAGGTCACAGACCAAGTGAAAGGTAATAGGCCCTCAAATCACTACTTAATTAACTTCCCAATAACCCCAAATCCTGGCTAATATTCCCTCTGACTGTGTGAACCATGACTCCATGTCAAACATTGTCCAATTAGCTATACAGTCATTCAGCCTGATAGCTTTAACACCTTGCTTTGCAACGCACTTTGAAATGGCTGGTGCTTCAAAGGTGCTAGAGAAAACAAACTTTCTGTATTAATGATCTAGATTTCTGTGTAGGTAGGGTAGGGTTTAATAATGGATGCAAATACACGCAACACTGAAAACTATCTTAGCATTTTCCACAGGAGGTCAAGCACTATGGATGTTAGCATTTCTTCAGCAGGTGTTGTTTTAATAGGGTTGAAATGAAACCTTCTCAGCACGTAGGAGATATTCATCTAGTCCAAGCTTCAGTGACTCTTTAATGCACTGATTCAGGTTGCAATGACATTTTCTACCCCCCTCCAAAAAAAAAAAAGAAGCTAAACTGAGCAAGCTTGTTCTTCATAAATAAGCATCGCTCTTGCAAGTCAGGGCTTGCCCCTGAAAGATGGGCCTCCGCAAACAGAGTGGCATCAGAAGAGAAATGCTATTTAGATTTATTTAGAGAGACTTAATTAAGCTCTAGAGTAAATGTACCATCCAACAGCTTAATTAGCAGCATGTGTTTATTAGGAGCTAATTACATGATCCCATAGCATTTTTAATTAATGATTGCCACTTAGCCCATTGAATTTAATTGACCAAGGGTAAGGAGAACATGCAAAATCTGTTGCCAAGACCTTTGGATAATAGAATTAACCATTTACTGTTGTTTTCGTGATACAACCAGAGTCATAGAAAGAGCTGCATATTCCAAAAGACAGAAGTGAGAAAAGGACCTGATTTAATGCATGCCACTGTGTAAATAAATGAACTAGCTTTTGCTGTTTGTTAGCATCTAAACATTTTGGGGGTTTCCATGTTCTTTTTAAAATTACCTCTCATAATTAACGTGCACGTGATGATGCCCTGCCCTACTAGAAAGGTGAGAGCTAAAATGTTTTCTTTACAATGTTGGATAAGGCAGTCGCTGTTACAAGACATTGAAATGCCCGTGGGGTGGAAAAAATAGTACAAAATTATTTTAGCTTTTACAGTAACATCTATGAAATTCCCAGCTATTCCTCAGTCCTGCCCCCTCTGCAGGGTTCCTAGATACTACCACAAAATATATAAAAATAGCTGCCTTCTTAAATACATGCTTAGAAAAAGGAAGTAAGCAACATGCTTGCAAACCCAAATGTTCTCCTAATAGCAACTAAACAGCAAACCTCCTCCCCACCTCAACAACATGAATGGCACATGCTAGTCTGAATCCAAGTTGGAAGCATGATCTCAGGTTTGGACTCTATCACAGCTTCCTCTGTGAGCAGATGAGAATTAAATTTGATATCCCAGAAGACAGATTGGAGTATTAGTATCCCAGCGTTAGGAGTACAAACTCTTTTAAAACATAATCCATGTCTGGCTATAGTTGTCTCTAAGAACCTGGACTAAGAGTTCAATTACTTTCACGTGTGCATGTCGTCCAAAGCAAGGTGCAGAAAGGATTCTGGGAAGTTGATTCTCATCCAAATGCTGCTTCTCAGGTGCCCCCCAAGAAACGTCTTGTACATGTTTAACCAAGCTCTCTCTGCTCACCTTGGGCTCTGGAATCTCCTTTCGTGTTCCTACAGGGTAATGCGGTATCATCTTGCCCCTTTCCTATTCAGCACTAGGTGCTGCAGAGTCACTTAATACATCAGGAGGAAGCTAGAGCAGCCCTCAGTGAAAAGGCACAGCATGCTCCTATGTACAACCAAAAGAACAAAACTGTGAGATGGACAGGACCTCTGGATGCAAAGATTTCTAGTTCTGTTCCTGCAATTCACAAGCCATGACACCTCTGCTCTCTACCATGCATGGGCATTTTCCAGCTGGCTGTCAATTAAAATGTGGCATTTGATTTTTTAAAACTTCTTTTAAGTTAAAATAAAATGGAAACTAACTATAGTATTTGGATTATCTGAACTATCATCTGGCCCGGGCATCGCTCCAACTACGCCCACATAACAGAGTACCTAGGATTAATACCTCACACTTGAACTCTCAGTGGAATTACCTGGGGTGGGAGTGGGGGAGGAATATAAAAAGGAACCTGTCTTGTTCAGGCTCCGTTCTCACAGCTGGGACTCATGAGGAGGAAGAGATAAATGAAACAAGAGGCTCTTTATCATTTCCTAGAGAGACAGGTATTGTAGAATAATGTTAAATATTGCATTGAATATTGTGGCTGTCAGGTAACTTTAATGCATGTCCTGTTTTCAGTGTCCATAAAGCCTCTCTTGAACAGGCTCTGACCATTTTGAATACTTTTTTTTTTTCTAACGCAAGCAAGAATTTTATTGGCGCGCACACGCGCACACACACACACACACACACACACGTGTCCAATCCTGCTACAGGATATTGAGTCCTCCTCAACTCTTAAGATTTAAACAGAAGCTAAAGGGACTCAAGTATTTTGACTTGGGCCTTTAAGCTACACTCTGAGCTATGCTGCCTTCTCAGAAGGGGGCAGGTCTACAACCCTTGGACATTTAAAGCATTCAGGATGCAATAAAGAGGGGTGTATTCCTATATCTAGTCATGGTTGTTCCTTTTACCAGTAATCTGCAGAGTACTCTTTAATGGAAAGGCACCTGGAAGCTCTGTGCACAGCAATGCCAAATCACTAACTTTAACAAAGCTAAGGTCTCTTCAACATCCCTCCCCCATCATAATTACAAAATATCTGTGTTAGTGCACTGGGGGCATCTATATAAGATGATGTGAATATCTATTCTACATTAAAGAACACATTGTTAGAACCATTACTGGATGCTGGTATTAGCATCCGATATGCATAACATGTACTGTGTACATATTTGTCCTCCACTGCTACAACACGTGTGTGTTGCAAAGCATCTGGTTGTGAAAGGCCCAGGGAACTTTATGCTTGTGCACATATCCTTAACTGTGCTCTGTACACTAAAACATTATGCTTGGGGGTGTTTTCTTTTTTTAAACCTTATGTAGATTTTATTTTTTTTAGTATTTTTCAAGTGCCTCCCTCCTTCCTCAAACACCAAATTCTGTGTTTGCTTCTTTTGTATTCATCTGAGTTATCTGAAAATTACTATAATGAACTATTACCCCTGAGGATCTGAATGCCATTTCAGCAGCATGTGCTATCTTTGCATACGGTTGCTCCAGCTCTGGTAAATTAACCTTCTTGAAATTGGTGTTGCTGGGTAAGAAGATGGAGGCAGACATACTAAAATAGCACGTTTCCTGCAGAAACTTGACTCTTTGCACTGGAACTACCTGAAACATTTCTGTCTATCATGTCTGTCTTAGCAAGGATATTAGCAAAGCCCAGGCTATTGTGTCTAAGGGTTTTAGTGAGTGCATTCTCATGTTTGCTCTGGAGCCTTTTACCTTCATCATTAAACAATACACCTTAATCCCTTTTGATTCAATTCAAAGTCCTGTTCCTGACGCAACTGTTTTCAAATTTCACAGGATCTAGCTGCTTGCCCACTCCTCAACCCATGTCGGTATGCTAAGAGACTTACACACAGGCTTTGATCTTTGCTTGGCAGGTGTTCAAACAACAGCTGGAAGGAATATATTCCCTTGTGCAGAAACGGCTGTCAGGATGAGGCAATGTGTGCTGAAAGGGAGTTGAGGATGATTCCCCTCTTACTCCATGGCTGTGAACCAGTTACTCTGGCTCACCAATGCTCATTCCCCATAAGAGCCACGAAGATGATCTCCGTTGCCTTTCAGGGCTGTGATGTGAATTTAACTCATTAGACTGCTATGGAGATAATCATTTATTTGACAGTTGCATACTCTGTTTCAGTCTGTAGGTCCTGTGGTGGTTAGCACTCTGCAAGGATCTGCATACAGATTGCATTAATTAATTGTGCCAGGTGGGTGTCGGCATTATGTCCAACACATAATAAAGCTGCCTACTAAGAGAGAGGCTCAAGCCTTTTCTGGATGATGACTCCTGCTGTTTTCTCACCTGGTGACCACTGTTACTGATAGCTGAAACCATTTTCTGCTAACAGTTTAGCAGATCAAAGTCTGTCTGAATTTAGGTTATGCATTGTCCCCCTGAGGACCTGCATCCAAGCTTGAACCCACAACCTTCAGGATTGAACCTCAACCTGAGTTTTAATGTACAAATTAAAGAAGCAACTCCATGAACCAGTAGCACGAATAAGTCACCTTCCTTTAGTCGTGCCAAATGCATGCCTTGCTAACCTTGTAGTTTCTCAATTTCTAATGCACGGTGCCCTTGCCTTGCAGAATACGCAGACACAATTGCATTCTTCCACCTGCCAGACTGATGGGGGCCCAGTTCATCTTTGACATACTTGGCTTCATTTTTCTGGACATGGTTGGGATCCCAGGGAATGTGGTCATCCTCTATGCCTTCGTTCACACATTAATGTGCCACCGGAAAGTCACGCTCTCCGAAATCATCCTGAGCAAACTCGCCCTTTCCAACCTCCTGGTGATCCTGAGCCAGGGGATTCCCTTCACGCTCAAAACATTTTGGACCCAGAATGTGTTCAACAACCTGGGGTGCAAAATTACCCTTTATGTTTATTGTGTAGGAAGAGCCATGACCATCTGTGTCACCTCCCTGCTGGGCTGTTTCCAGTGTCTCCTCATCATCCCCTTCCCTTGCAGGTGGCTGCACTGGAGAGAGAGCCTGATGAAAAATCTCTCTTCCATCATGATTTCCCTGTGGTGCTTCAACCTCTTTGTGTGTAGCACCCGTCTGACTTACGCCTCTGCCCAGGGTGATGAAAACTCCTCCACTCTTGGAAATTACACCGAGCTTTACAACTTCTGCTATGTGGTGTTCCCCAGCCGCTACTTTTACCTGGGAAGTAGGGTGGTGTTGGTCATCAGGGACTTGTTCTTTCTTGGGGCAATGACTGTTTCCAGCTGCTACCTTCTGTATATGTTTTATCAGCATGGGAAGCAAGCAAAACACCTACCAGGGCTGCACCTGAAGCATGCAGAGATCCAGGCAGCCAAAGCCGTGGTGGCCCTGTTAGTCCTGTATCTTTTCAGCTTTGGGATGGATAGCATCTTCTGGATCTTTACCCTCTGTGTGTCCCCAGGCTCAATGAGGCTTGTTGATGCTCAAATGTTCTTTGCTTCCTGCTACTCGGCCGTCGGCCCACTGGTGATTATCCTGACCAACAAGAAGGTGCAAACAGGCTTGAAGGCTACACCCAACAGGAGAGAGTTTCCAGTGGCAGAAAGTATCTCAAAGCATATCCATTGAGTAGAAAAATGGGAAAACTAGCAGCTTTCAGTCCCAGGCCAGGTTCTGCTGTGTTTGACTAGTATAGCCATTGCTGTGTTCCCAAACCATCTAGGACATTAGCCCGTTAGACTCCAAATAGCCCAGAGAATAATAAAGCAAGAAAGAAGAAAAGTAAAGTCTCTATCAGCTTCCTGCTGGGCGTAGGGACAAGAATCTGTATGTGATGGCACACCCCAGCAATGACAGGGGAGGAACAATGATTTTTCCATTCAAGGAGCTGCATGTGAGAGAGCCTGATTCAATTCACCGTACTATCAAATCCATCTGTGACCTTGTGAAGTCAGTCAGTCTCTCTGGACCTCAGTTTCCTGCCTGTAACAAAGGAAGGATCGCTCCTTCTGCCACGGCTGTGTGTGGTGTGGAAGGATTCAGATTCAGAGATACAACTTGCAAGCAAAGCTGATTCTGAACATTTCGGTTTTTTTAAATACAAGCTGATATTTAAGATTCTCCTGGTTTTCGTTACTGGGAACATGGGCTTCTTGAAACTGCGCTTTAAAATAGTTTTCTCCCCCAATCAAATGCATGCCAGTTTCAATAAATGAACCTAGAAACATTTATGGGTTTTATGAAAAATAAAATCAGAAAGTGATGTATTGCAAGCAACCTTACTACAAAACTCATTTTCAGATTGATCCTCAATGCCTGGCAAAGGTGCATTTTATCTTTGTCTCAAATGCCTGAACGCCAGAGAAAATGTAACAAGCTTAACGGGCATCATCTTACAATGTAATGTATGCCATGTATATATTTTGACATCTAGCAATGAAAAGGCAAAAGCAAAATCCAGTGTGTACGACCTGTGCAGCATTGCAATGTATAATGTTTACAGCAACAGCCTTATTTTCAGGTACCAAACTCTAAGCTGTAACCTGTGGCTCTGAGGCCTCATCTTCAAAAGTACTGAGTATCTTCAGCTCTCCCTGACTGTCTAGATACATGGATGCTGAGCACAACTCAAAATGAGACCTGACTGCATGTCAGCACTGTGAATCAGTTCTGTGGTATGTGATTCTTCTGAAAGATTAAAACAATCCCAACAAAACATCCCTACAAGACCAAAAATTCTGTTCTATTGGAAAGTACACAGACAACCCCCTAATACACACTTGTGTTACTATAACTAAATTCCCATCTCTTTTAAGCAAAAGACTTTGGTGCATTAATCATCTTCGATTACAGATTGGAAAGCAAATCTACCCATTTTTTTCATACTAGCTCTGACGAATCAACTCGCATCTCAGTGCAGTTGTAGGCTTTACTTAACGGCCTTCTAAGCTCCGTGTGCAATATCTGAAGGTTGCTGACTCTGCCTCTCCGTGCTTTTCCCCATTATACTCACTGTTCAAATAACAATGCTAATTTAAACTTTGAAAAATGGGGTGTCTTGCTGCAGCAGGTTGCTGTGATTGCAACGTCATCCCCTTTGGGGTTATGGCTAAGAACAGAAACATTGGCCCAATCTCAGTGAGATGCATGGTATGGGGGCACCTGCTTGCATATTATTCTACAGCAAGGAGAAATGTCCATGTCCCTTCCCAGAGATGTGACCGGCTGCCCAGCTGAGTGCTGTAAGTTTTAATGGTGAGCTCTTTAAAGTCCTCAAGGGAGATGGTCTCATGCAACAACTTACATGTAAGTGCTGTCTTCAGGAAAGAAGCATACTGTACAGGGGTTGTGTTCCAAAACCTGTCAGAGATTATTCATGATAACTTTTATTTATATGTCTAAAAAATTATTTGTAGGAGCTGCATCAAGCTTTTGGAAATAAATGGTGATGTTTGGGAAGCTTTCTGCTTATGACTTATTAATAAATCTGTAAAAATGTCTGGAGTGTGATGGCTCAATCAAGAACATGAGCAGTTCCTAAGCAGTCTCCAAGTCTGACTGAATTTGTCTGCCGGCCTCCAGCCTATTAATATGGAAGCAAGATAACTGTTAAATCTGAGAGTATCCTTCTCCTTGCCTGTCAAGCGTGCAAATACTCCTACATTCAGGACTCACTATTTGAAGAACAGCCTTTGCAGATGTGACTGCAGGATTTCAGTCTAACTGAATCCACTCACAACACCACCAAAGCTTTTGGCAATGGTGGTGGTGAGGGAGACACCAAAAAGGGATCCAGGCAAGACAGCACTGCCCACAGTGACCATCTGAAATACGAAACACAAAATGTCCCTGCTTTGCTCATACAGTAAGACCTTTGCTTTGGGTGATCAGCTGTCTGAAAGCATGAGCCCATGGGGTGTCCTCTTCCTCCAAACTGCAGATGAGATCCTGGCTAACTTGTCCTGCCACAAGACAGAGCCCTTACAGATGTCCGTGTAGACCACTTGACATTTGTCAACACCTCAGAGTCCCTCATGAGAGTAATTCTGGAGACAACCACAGTTTTCAAGCTGCAAAAAACATAGATACGGCAGCTTCTTGACAATGGTTTGAAAATGATGATTTGCCTTTAGAGGCACCTTTTGCTCTCTGCTACCTGAGTGCAATTCGTGCAATAACGATCAAGTCCAAATGCCAGCAAGCGTACAATCCTGAGGGTTCGAGGTCCCAATGTACAGCTCTGCTGTCTTTTGGCTAATGGGTTTATATCCTCTTGAGTCCTCCTAGGACTCACTTTGGAGCTGTGAAGAATGACACCAAGTCAGGACTGCTCTTAAATCTGATGCTCTTTCCTTCACCACTGGCAGATGCTGTCTTTACTTTACATTCATGCTGGTTGGGGATCTTTCCTCTGTGGCCCTCACTGAGTTTTCCCAATGGTAACAAGTGGTTGATCCTCTTACACAGGCATCACAAACAAGTTTGACTGAATTTCTCTGCCAGTTTGTGTCGGGCACATTGTGCCCCACTCCACTCCCATGGTCACCAGTCCTGAGTACCATTACTCCCCTTCACGTCCGCCGCACAAATGCTGAAGTAAACGTACTAGCCAGACTCTGCGATAACCCTACGCTGACAGTGTATTGGGACATATTCCACCCACTGATAAATGGCTCCCCTCAAGACATCCATTATGGTCCACCTTCCAAAACCTTTCAACTTCTCCTTGCTTGGTGACACGAAGAATGGTCAGCACAAGCACCACTCAGTCACCACATCGTCTCAGACCCTATAGTCAGTCAACGAGGATTTAACTGGCCACGCTGCTATTAGGCACTTCTCCACTGCTTTCCAACTGAACAGGGGTCACGGTGCCCCAAACTTATACCAACAGGGCCTTCACAGTGACAACAAATGTCCTTATGAACAAGTTCAAACCATGCCCCACATTGTTGACTCATGTCCATTTCCTATGTGACCCAGCGGCCTTCGAGTACTTCACGCTGGTGATGGGAGAAACAATATACCAAAACCACATACACTAAATAAAATCAGAAACAAGTGCAATGCATTTGCAGTATGGCCGTCAGGCTGAAAACAATCCCTGCAATAAAAGCATCTCCAGTAGTCATTACAGTGATGACTCTCTGTTTCTATGGAGCTGAGGCTGTCTTGATATATTTTCTCTTTCCACAAGGAAGATTTCACCTCTGATTAATCAATAACCAAATAGTTTTGGCTTTCAGCTACTCTGCCAATTGTCCTTTCCTGATGATTTTCAGTAACAACATAATGACTAGGCTACAGGGCTACTGTAGGGAGCACAGAGAAGTCTCACACTATTTTTATCCTCTAGGCAATACTCTTCTTTCCACCTGGTTTGACAAAGCAAGCTGCTGTTTTATGGAACTTAATAGTTCGCTATATGCATGCATTTTGTTAATCAGCTCAAACGTTACAAGGGGGTGTAATAAAATCTAATGTAATAAAAAATAAAATCACCCAGACTGAGCAGCACACAGTAGTTTCCAAGGATGTTAGCATGCCCCTTGCAAAATGTGTAGAGAGTGAAATCCACGGTAGCCCTGGATTCACGATTCTCTGAGCATGGCCAGAAGCAGGAACAAAAATGGAGAACTTCACATTCTTCCTATAGTCAGTATTTGCTACAAGAGGAGAAACCAAGGAACTAAGGCTAAGGGAAAAAGGTGAAAGGGAAAATAGGAGATTTGATTTTTTTCCCCTGTCACTGTGCTTTTCTTGAGATGAAGAAGTTGCATTTGTTCTTTCTTCATTTGTTGCTTTCCTTAACGTGAAATAAATGTCCTAGACTGAGCAATAGCATGTGTGTGGCTCCTTGTACTTGGATGCAGAGGAACACAGGGGAAACTTTAAAGGTTTACATACCATTTTGCTGGGGTGAAACCTGCAATCTGCTTCTCACAGAGAGTAATTCTTACAGAAAGCAGATCCAAACACCCCATCCCTTTCTTCAAATCCAAGGTGTTCAAAATACCAAGCCTCGTGGGGAAACCCCAACCTCAGTGAGA